TTGTCTGTTTGGAAATGAAGACGATCAAGAAACATAGGATGTGGTAATCCAGATGCTGAAGTCAAGTTTATGATTGCAATTAAATTGATATGTGAGATTCATTGATGAGGTTTGGAAATCAAATCCCCCAAATTTATAAATATTTCATGATCAATTATGCAACACAGCTGCAGTTACCAAGTAGTAAACCTCATAAGAAAAGTTGTAGTTGCACGATGTTTTCAGAATTACATTTGTCTAATTTAAGCTATACAGCAAAGAGTGTGTATGTGTGTCTGCATATGTGCCCATGATAGTGTGATAGTGAGGTTGGCCTTCATTGATGAAATACTAGTATTTATTTATAATGACATTTCTTGCAATTTTGCCTTCTTTTTCTTTGTTCATTAATGTCTATTCAGATTTTTAAATTTTGCTTTGAACTCTCTGGTGATTTAAGTGCTGGAGCCTGTGGTTCTTAAACAGAAAAGTGCAGACTGTATGCTCAGACTGAGTCACAGATATATAATGACCTTGGAAAAATCTTAAATTATGTTGTACAGAGCCTGAGGTTTTGATTGTAAGACAACTGCCCCACCCTTTGAATGTCTAGCCTCATTAATATAATGTGATAATCCATTTTTCTCTTATGAGTGCTACATGACATATATTTACTTGTCCTAATTAAATTGAGTTAAAAATAATCTCTAAGAATGTGGTGGCATGCCTGGAGCTTTCCTAGAGATCAGCGAAGTCAGATCTGGAAATCACTTTTCTGAGAATATTACAACTTGACCAGGCTACTGCAACCTCGTTTCCATCTTTATTCTCAAAACCTTGGAGGAAATCCTCAACTAACAAATGGATTTTTTTTTTTTTGTATTTTTTTTTTTTTTGCACTTTAGGTTTTGGGGTACATGTGCAAAACATGCAGGATTGTTGCATAGGTACATACATGGCTATGTGGTTTGCTGCCTCCATCCCCTGTCACCTATATCTGGCATTTCTGCCCCTGTTACCCCTCCCCAACCTTATTACCCCCCTGCTGTCCATACAAATGGATTTTTATGAATGAATTCAGTTCTCTGTTTTGCTGTCCCTTAAAGATTCATGCCTACTCACCTTGGAGTTTCATACCGTCTGCAGAATCCAGTCGTCATTCATTTAACAAATATTTCCGCTAACTTACTTCAATTATTTTTCTATTTTATTTTATTTCCCAAGCCCATCCACTTTCTTTTATAAGCAGTCAATCTGATGTGTATAATGTACATCTTTGTGTTTGTGCTTTTGCAAAATGTATATTGCTATCTGCATGCATGTATTTTTTATTTTTTAAATGGCATTGTGTTAGATATCTAATTTCTTTCATACCTCTTACACTCTGCAACAACTATATTGCCATGTATGGAATCCATCATTTCTAATTATTTTATAATTATTACAAACTCTTTTGCTAACTGTTAGGTATAAAGGGTTGAAGAAAAAAATTCATGATTTCTGTTTCCACAGAGCTCACATACTAGTTTACAAAAAGCATTTTAAAAACCCCACATATAGTATGACGAGTGCCGTATATACTGATAAATATATAAATATATATATTTATATAAACATATATAAATATATATATTTATTTATATAATTGATATATATCAAATATAAATAAATATGTTGAAAATATATCAAAATATATTTTGATATATTTTCAAAAATATCTATCAAATTCTTTCTCTGTGTTAAATTTGATGTTAAGCACTAGGGATAAAATAGAGAACAAGGTAGTAGTGATAACTGCCCTCAGGAAGCTTACATTCTAGAAGATTATCCAAGCCTTGTAGATCATGGAAGGGATTTAAGTTCAGCGGCAAATAACGAAATGGTTTTATGCAACAGAGCATGATAAAGAAATTTGTATCTTTATTCTGGTTGACGTAGGGATAATGGGTTAAACAGAAGCAAGACTAGACTCAAGAAACAATTTAGTTGCAGCAGAACAACTGAGAAACTATAGTGGCTTCAACAGGGTGGGTGGCACTGGAACAGAAAAGAAGGAAGAGAATGATGTGATATATTTTGAAAATGGAACAGACAGAAGTTGATGTTAGATTAATTATGAGGGGTAAAGAGGAATCAAGTCATGTCCCTGAGTTTCCAGTCTGGAAACGGAGATGGAGAAGACTGAGCATGGATCAGGTATGGGGAGAAAAGCGAAGTCCTGTTTGGGTCATGATGTCTATGTGGCATCTAAATGGAGGTGTCAAACAGGCAATCGAGCGTATGGAGCTGATTCTCAGAAAAGGGCTATGGACTGGAGATGCAGATTCAGGAGTCATCACATATGGATGGTCTTTAAAATCATAGGAATGAATAAGAATGTAGAGAAAAGCAAACGGGGCCCATTGCAGATCCCAAATGTTTGGAGACCAGATGGAAGAGAAGGAGTCAGCAGGGAAATTGTAAGCAAGTGCTCAGGGAGGATCTACTGTGTTTGGGTCATTCAGGTATCTTTGGCTAGCACCTTTAGCCAAAGCTGATTGTATGGAAAGATTTAAAAAGGAGGCCTATATGGAATGGTGTAAATCAGGAAGTAGAGATGGTGCCTGCAGACAAATCTTTAGCGACTATGGGCAGAAGCGGACAAAATAAGGCAGGGTGATATCTGAAGGGAAATTTTGGCTTAAGAAATTTTTTTTAAGTAGGTGAGACTTGAGCATGATTAAAGCATGATACAAAGGTGCATAGATAGTGGAAGTTTCCTGAAAGGCAGAAGGAGATAAAAATCCAAGCTCAGGGGCAGGGTCCAGCTCCTAGTGAGAGGAGGGGCAGCTGTGGGTTGATAACACCCACTCCATGCCTTTCTCTGAATACCTTTTCACTGGCAAAATGAGATAAGAGGAGGAGCTAGTTTGAGAGTTCTGTTGAGATGGGTTTCACAATGAGCAGAAGGCAAAGGACCTACACTTTAAAAAGTAATTTGTTCAAAGATCACTGTCAAAAACACTAGGCCTCAAAACAAGAAGACATCTATAGAGTTTAGCAGATAATCAGATTTGATATTGTCGCAGGGCAAATTTGGGTTGAGAGAAGGCTGTCTGGTGGAAGAAAATTACTCCCTTCTGTCTGGGAAGAGACTACAACAGGATTTGACAGAATCCCAGAGAAATTGGGCAGCCTTTCATTATATTTATCAAAAAGCTGAAAGCTCCCTGCTTTTTCATCTTAAGCAGGCATATGGAGCAGAAGACAGATTCTCCAGGATAAATAAAATTCAGGAATATCCAAAGGAAAGGGGAGTGATTAACCGAATGGGGAGTGACCAGAAGACACACTAAGGCCTTTTAGCATTTCATTGGTTCCTGGCCTGGGGCCAACATTCTTGAGACCTTAGCTTTGAGTCTGCACAGTCCTATGATGAATCCTCTGCTTAAACCTCAGAAACAACCACACACAAATTAAATAGTATTTAATAACAGCTAAAGGATAGGTGTAAATAGATCTAAAAATTATTTCTTTAAATCTTAGGCTAAAGGGTACAGTGTTTAATTTCCTTAATCATAGTATCCTCACAAATTAATGCTAGCGTTTTGACTCTTTCTGAGTCAACTTCTTATACACAGCAAACCAAATCACATCTTAAGTTTTAGAAATATTGGTGATTGAGTCACAAAGGTCACTCAAGAGGCCAATATTGACTTTGGGGCAGCAACATTATAGCCAGAGTAGCTGAGAGGAGATAAACTATCTTTGAAGTGTCTGATTCTCAAACCCAAGCTTATAATATGATAACAGAGGTAGTAAATAGAAGGGCAGCATATTTTTGTTACAAAGAATACTAACTTGGGACCCGGCCTCTTAGTGCTATCCTGCTGTTTACATGGAGGTATGATGATTTTGGGCAAGTTGCTAAACTCCTCAGTTTCTTCATCTGTAAGTATCCACTAGGTACTCAGGAATTTTTAAGATCTCTCCCAGCTTTAAAATCCCTTACTCTGATGTATTAATCAGGATTCATTCAGCTCTAAGTGACAGAAAGAGACCTCAAACTGACTTCAGTTAAGAGGGGAGATTTATTGTTTCACATAACTGCAAAGCTATTGGCAGCCTGCATAGCACCTTCTGAGAATAGAAAAAAGGGCTCCTGAGTGAGCATTTGGCTTGGCAAGCAATGGGAACCTTTAATGAAAAATAAAACAAAACAAAATGAAACAAACAAATAACAAAACAAAACAATAAACAAGTCTCTTTCTCTGAATAGACACACCCTTACTCCCAGATGCACACAACAGATTTCAGCAGCCACTTACCCCTTTGGCTGGGAATGCTTTGCAGTTCACAATTGGCTCAACTCTACATAGTGGCCCTGAATCCCAGGGTAGTCTGGCATCATTGCCAGCTGGATCAAGGGACTCAAACACTGTCACCAGGACTTACTCTTTCCTCTTGGCTCTGCTTTGTTTGTTTTTGGATCTACCCCCTACCCCGAGTGTGTGTGAGAGAGAGATAAATTGAGGAAGAGAGAGGGAGAAAGAGAGACCCGTGACCAACCTGGGTCACAGGTTGAATTCTTAAATTTGAGGGTGGGACTGGAGTCCTGTCAAACCACATGGATTGAGAGAGCGGAAGACCTCAAGGTGCAGTTCCTAGAGAAAGGGGATGGACGCTGAGCTGGGAAAGATAATCCATGTCCTTTTATGTAACTCTATGGTTTTCAATCAGCTTACCAAGTAGTCTTAGATGATCTGAGGCATTCCCCTCCAAAGTTTTTACATTGCCAAAAACCTTGACATTGTATAATCAATGCTGAAAATGCAGTATATTTGCACATTGCTGGTGGCATCATTAATTGGCACGAAGCTTTGGAACTCTATTGAATAATTTTGATCAATAGTCATAAAATCTGCTTGTATCATGTGGTTTAGTAATACCCCGAAGAATTTATTTTAAGGAAATAACTCAAATTTTAAAATTCATGTATGTGAAAATGTTTATTCAACATTATCTATAATAAAAATTTGGAAATGGCCTAAATGTCAACCACACGGGAATAGATAAGTCAATTAAAACTGAATAAAATGTTGAGTAACCATTAAAATGGCAATTATAAAGGTTTTATGCTGTGAAAAAAGATATGTGCAAAATTATATAAACCATTTGATGACTGCCAAAAAAAAAAAAAAAAAACGGTAAGCGTATAGATAGCCTAGAAAGGAATGCCTAAAAATGGAAATCATGGTTGTGTTTCCAGTGGAGGTGTAATGAGGAAATTGTCTTGTCTTTAAATTTGTGACAGTGTTAGTATAATATCTTATAATGAATAAAGTTAATTGAACTTCAATAAGAGTTCAATAAATATTTTATTAAACAAAACTAAATAAGCACACCCCTGTGTTCTGTGGTGAGAAGATTTATTTTTAGGGACCTTGACCTGAAGACAGGTCTTTTAGAAAAATGTTGCTGGAAGGCTCAGAATGTATATGTCTGCCACAGGCCTTGATTAATATTGTTCAAAGGAAGATAAAGGAAAAAAGGGCGGTTATGGGTGAAGAGGGAAGAGAAAGTTGACTTTAAGAAGTTAATGTTCTAATCACACGAGTCATACATAAATACATTCTCATTCTAAAACATTAAAATGTTACATCTAACATTTCAGCTAAGGCTGAAGTCCTCTTTGACACCTGTCGTAATCTGCTCAGGCTGCCATAACAGTACATTACAGTATACTACAGACTGTGTGGCTTAGACAACAGAAATTTATTTTCTCACAGTTCTGGAGGCTGGGAATTCCAAGATCAAGTTCTCACAGCGTTTGGTTTCTGGTAAGGGCTCTTTTCCTGGCTTGCAGATGAATGCCTTCTTGCCTTCTCACTGTATCTTCATATGGACTTTGTTCCCTGCTGTGCAAGAAAAGAGAAAGAAAAAGAAAGGGATTGAGGGAGAAGAGAGAGTTCTCTGGTGTCTCTCTTTTTTGTTGTTTTAAGATGAATTTTCACTCTGTAACCTAGATTGCATGGTGCAATCTTGGTTTACTGCAACCTCCACCTCCTGGGTTCAAGCGATTCTCCTGCCTCAGCTTCTGGGGTAGCTGGGATTACAGGCTCATGCCACCACGCCTGACTACTTTTTGTATTTTTAGTAGAGACAGGGTTTTGCCATGTTGGCCAGGCTGGTCTCAAATTCCTGACCTCAAGTAATCTGCCTGCCTCGGCCTCCCAAAATGCTGGGATTACAGGCATGAGCCACCATGCCTGGCTGTGTCTCTTCTTATAAGGACAATAATCCCATCGACTCAGGAACCCGTCCTGCCCCTTCTGACCTCATCTAATCCTAATCATTTCCTTATTCCAAATTCAGCCACACTGGGGGTTAGGGCTTCAACATATGAATTCTGAAGGTACACACATGTTCAGTCCATATCAATGCCCTCCTGTATCTAGATGCTTCTCCCCCAATTCTGATCCCCATAATCAATTTCCAAGTACAAGCATGTATTCAGATTTTTTTCTCAAAAAGAAAATAAAATGTACCCATAGATTTATAAAGTTATTTTTATTATGTGCATTTAAAAACTCTTCCTGTGCACAGGCATTTTTAACTTGTTTTTTGTAAAATATGCCTTGGTGAATTTTCATAGTAGTTATGGGTACTGGAGCTGCATAATATTCTGATATATAATTACCAGATCCTATTAACTATTGTATTTTTTATGATTGACATATAATTTGTACACATTTATGGGGTACAATGTGCTGTTTTCATACATGTATACGTTGTATAATGATCAAATCAGGGTAATTAGCATATCTATCACCTTTCACATTTATCATTTGTGATGAGAACATTAAAAAGCCTATCTTCAAGTATTTTGAAATATACAATCCATTATTGTTAACTCTAGTCTCTAGTATAAAATAGAACACAGAACTTATTTCGCCTATCTAACTGTAGCCTTGTAACCATTGACTAATCTCTGCCCAGTCTATTAACTGTTTTAAGTAACTATCACCATATTGATAGGTATTTAATTAATTTCTTTTTTTTCAATCAACAATTCTGCAATGAGAATCTTTATACATGCCTTTTTGTATACAAAGGTGAATATTTCTCAAAGATGACTTGCTGGATCACAGAATATGCACGTCATCCAATTTGTTTGTTTGTTTGCTTGAGATGGAGTCTTGCTCTGTCACCCAGACTGGAGTGCAATGGCACTTTCTTGGCTCACTGCAACCTCTGCCTATGGGGTTTAAGCAATTCTCTGGCCTTAGATTCCTGAGTAGCTGGAATTACAGGAATCTATCACCATGCCCAGCTAATTTTTGTATTTTTTTTAGTAGAGATGGGGTTTCATCATGTTGGTCAGGCTGGTCTCGAACTTCTGACCTTGTGATCTGCCCATCTTGGCCTCCCAAAGTGCTGGGATTATAGGCCTGAGCCACCATGTCTGGCCCATTATCAATTTTAATAGATACTGTCCAATTGTCCTCTCAGGTGGCTATACCAGTTCATATTCTCACTAGTAATTCATGAGGCTGCTTGAACATTTGGTACTGTCAACATATATTTGTCAACATTTGGTATTAATATCTTCGTCAATCTGATGAGTACCAGAAAATATTATCTTACTACTTAAATTTGTATTCTCCTGATTGATGTTGAAGTTGAACATCTGGGATATATATTGGCCAATTTCATTTCTTCCTAAGTATTACCCCTTTATGTGTTTTTCCCACTTTTACCTATCAAATTGTTTATCAATATCTTATTAAATTTGTATAACTCCCTTATATATTCTATATGCTAATCCTTTATCTGTAAATTAGGTTGCAAATATTTTCTTTTCATCTGCTTGCTTTTTTTTCCTTTTCTTACATTATTTATGGTATATTTTGTCTTGGAAAGTTTTTATTTTGAAAATAGTCACAATTTTTAATTTTTTCCTTTACAGGTTTTGCTTTTAGTGTCTTAAAAAGGCATTTTCTCCCCCAAGATCATAATTGTGTTATCTCCTATACTCATTTAACCCTCATATTTTTAACCCTGATATTTTGTTTTTGTTTTTCTTTTACTTTTAGATATTTAATCCATCTGAAATTTATTGCCAAAAGTGGTGTGAGATAGGAGTTAAGTTTACTATTTTTCAAGTGGATAGTCAGTTATCCCAGTGCAGGGAGTTGACTTTTTTCATTGTTGTTGTTAGAAGCTCATATTCTAAGAAGAGAAAACATTTTGATATTTCACAGTTTCCGGAACCAGCTCAAGAGGAAAATCAGCTGGTGTACACAGCCATGCCCATGTCTGGAAGAAATTGAGCACACACTTGAAAGCACAGAACCTACAGTGCATTCATTCTTCATGCAACAGACATACGTTGTAAGTATAATTTTAGTACAGTTAGACATTAAGCCTAAATCAAGAGCTTTCTTCAACCTTGATCCCTCTCAAAAGCAAATAATCTTTTCCATAAATCAAATTACCAACCTCTGCTTTATCCCTTTCATAATTAAAATTTTCATGTAATTTGGTTTTTGTTTGAATGAGTACACATTTAAATGTAAACAATTTGCTGAACTTGTGTTAGAGAAAGATTCGCCATAACATTACACGCATTTTGAACCTACTTATATTTTGTTAAATTAGCAGTAACCTTATGCCTCAAAGACATTTTGGACTTCTGTGCATTTTTCCAAATGGCTGAAACAAGGAACCAACTGCATAGAAGATGTGTACCCTCTTTGCCTGACTATGCAGAGCAGTAGGTGGGTGGGCGCCAACTCTGCCTCGGTCATTTCACACCTGTAAAATTTTGGCCAAGTCTTAATATTTGGTTGCCACATTTGCTTGTCTGTTTAATGGAAATCATAAAAGGCCTTGCACATTAGAATCATTATTATGAAAACTAAATAGGATAATACTCCAAAGCTCTTAGAATAGTAGCCAGAAGGCCATTTTTTCAGTGTTTGGGGAAGATCGTAGCCCAGGAGGATGCTGCTTTGATAATGTTCTACTTTTGTCTTTTTAAAAACTTTGCATGCTTTCAGTTTATCTTTTTTCTATTATCACTACTTTTTTTGTGTGTAGTTTTTAAAAATAGAATCTTTGTCCCAAATTTGTTATCAAAGGAAGTTGGAAGATGTCTTTGCGGCAAGTACCTTAATCCCCACACCCCAGTTCGATTCCAGGGAAATGTGAGCCTCAATTATGGGCTTTTTCACAGTCACCCTGGAAGGGTGACTCCAGACCTGAACTATGCCAATGCAGAGAACACTGGGACAATTGATGGGGAAATCGCACATTCCCCCATAAAGCTTCAGGAGCATGCTTGCCATGTTTATTCACTAGGGTGTTTTTTGTACTCCAAACAATTTTTGCTTGGAGATTTCAGATCCATAATCTCAGAAGAAACAAGAAAAGGCTCAGGATTGTCTGGGCTTACCTGGATTTTCTAGGCCTCAAACCTTTGCTTTTTCACACACATGCTGCTTCCCCAAGAGCCAAACAATGTCTCAGCAGAGCCCCTCATTTTATAGAACTGGTCTCTATGCCCATGTAGAGGCTTCTCTGTGAATACCATCATGGGGGAGCAGGTTTCATGTTTTTGCATCTACGCTGACAATCGATAAAGATCTTGTTACTCAAAAATCTCCACAAAGTGCTTGGGATCCTTTTGCCTGCTATAGTAGGGGTGAACTAGAGGATGGAAAGATGAGTCAGTGAAGACACTGCAGGTATGGGAGGCCTTGTTCATTTTGGAGAAGTCCCAGAGAAGAAAAGATTATAAAAAGAAGATTTGGAAGGCAAGAGATGGGTAGGAGTCCCAGTTCGGGGACAAGAATCACACAGCTGTACAGAGAGTAAAACAGAGGAAAGAATTGCTGCCAGGAAGGGCCAATGTTGAGATAAGATTAATAAGGATGGTCAGCTTGGTGGACATTGTGTCCAAATCTAGAAGAGAAGGCCTCTCTGACACTGAGGTAGGGCCAGACCGTTCATCCTTCCATTCCATGAAAAAAATAACAAGTGCTAAAACAGGCTTTACCTGTGCAAATATTAATATTTAATTTGTAAAATAAAAGTGCAATGCTTTGGGGTATGTATTTTATGTATGTTTTTTATATATTTTATATACACATAAATATGTTATATATAACATTTTAATGTTTATGGTATGTGTGAACATTTTGAAGAAAAGGTCAAAATAGATCATCCGAGAACTTTTCTGAACGTGAGATTCAAGCCACTAGCCCTGCTAGCCCCTCCTTTATGTAAGCCAGCCCAGGCAAGAGTGGGCCTGGGATACCACAGGACTGAGCTAAGCCTCAAAGGGAGGCTGTTAAGGTCTCAATGTTTCTGTTCACTCAAATTTCATATGTTGAAACCTTAATCTCCAATGTGACAGTATTAGGAGTAAGGAAGCTTACATGAGGTCATAGGGTGGGGCCTTGATTCTATGGGATTAGTGAGTACCCTTCTAAGAAGAAACACCAGAAAACCAACTCTGTCTCAATATTTGTCTCTCTCTCTGCTCTCATGCATCAAAGAGAAGCCATGTGAGGACATGGTGAGAAGGTGTTGTACTGTAAGCCAGCAGGAGAAAGAGAGACTTCGCCAGAAGACAAACTGGCCAGAACCTGGATCTTAGACTTCCAGTCTCCAGAATTTTGAGGAAATAAATTTCTGTTGTTTAAGCCATGAAGCCTGTGGTATTTTGTTTTAGCAGCTCCAGCTGACTAACATAGATCATAGATGCCTAGATGGAGGTGATGATATAAGGCTAGCTCTCCTATTCCTCGTGGTCTGTGGAAGTGAACATCTGAAATAACCAGCAAGTAGCATCATCCGGCAAACTGGATTTTTTAAAAAAGTACCACAGGCTGTCTACTGTAACGTTAGACAAATAAAGTACATTTTTTAAAACCACTACATTTGGGAACATTTCTTGACAGAAAGCTGCTCATTTGCTTTTAACATTACCTAGTTTATAATACTTGCCTCAGTGGCCCTAATGTGATAGACATTAAATGTGGTAAAATGTGGTTATTCACTCAATCACTCAGCAAATATTGACTGCAGGTATAGGATTGTACCAGGTACTATTCTAATTGCCGGCGATACTGTGGCTAATGAAAGAGCCTGCTTCTGCCCTGATGAAGCTTACCACTAAGTGGTAGGAGACAGTCATTAAACAAACAGGTAAATACATACAGGGTCAGATGGCAATAAGTGCTATGAGGAGAAGTAGAATAGGGTAAGGGGAGTAGGAAGAAGTATGGGGAGTTGTTATTTATATGGTCAGGGAGGCCTGGCTGAGACACTGACGTGGGAGCAAGGGCCTGCAGGAGATGATGGAATGAGCCCTGTGGATACCAGAGGAAATGGTTTTGCAGGAATAGGAAGAAACAAGAGTCTGAGGTGGGAATGGGCAGGAGGCAGGGTGGCCAGAGTGGAGTGAGAGGTGGGGAGAAGTGGAGAAGCCAAGGCCAGAGCGCGGCAGAAGCCAGGTGGTATGGGCTTTGGCTTTTACACTGACTGTGACCAAAGAATGCATATGATTTTAATGAATGAGTTAAAGGATTATTCTGGCTGCTATTTGGGATTAGATTCAAGGGAAGTAAGTTCAGAAGCAGGGAAACCAGTTATAAAACTATTGCAAAAACCCCAGATGAAATGATGGTGGCTTGGACCAGTGAGACAATGGTGAAAAGGAGAAGTGATCAGACTCTGGATATATTTTGAAGGTAGGCCGACAGGATTTGCTGATGAATTGGATGTGACAAATGGGAAAAAGGGAGGAGTCAAGGACGGCTCAAGATGGTGAGGTCTGAGCAGCTGGAAGGAGGATGTTGTTACATGATCAGGAGAAGCAATGCTGATAAGTATCGCTGCATCTTGAGTCACCTTCATCAACAACGCACTGAAAGGAACCTGAGAGTCTCAGGCGAGTTCTTGGTCCACAGTTAGCTAATTAATGCTGTCATATGCCATTTTTATTAAAGTTTATTTGGTGTGTTTTACAAGAAAAATAGCTAACCAGTTTACAATAAAATAAGTAACCTAAAAAGGTAATGTATTGACTAAGGAATTAAACAAAAAGAGGAAATCCCCTAAAGCAAGGGAATTTAGCCAAAAAAAAAAAAAAAAAAGTCAAACATTGGACTGTAATAACTTAAAAATCCAAATCTGCAATCTTGTTCAGAAAGCATTGAATAGAAGGGAACAGTAATAGTGAGGAGGAGAAAAGGGTTAGGGACCTTCAAAAGTTTGCTTCAACAGAAGGAAAGCCTTTAAAAGGTGACTGGGAGAAAGGAAATGACTCAATTGCTTTGAGGCATGCAAAGAAAGGGAGAGGAATTATGAGGAAATCAACACGTATGTATTTATAAGAGTCTTAATAATATAATGAAATAACACAATACAGTAGTTCTTAAGAAAACAGGTGTGTAGGTTTTCGGTTCAAATGTTAAAATGTAACATTCTAGTTTATATTAATAAGTACTTGGTTATGAATAAAGATATATTTAAGAGGTTTCACAGAGAAATTGACATCAATTGTTCCGCTTATATTTAGTGAAGTACAAATCACGCACTGGTAACTAGTGGCTGAATCATCTGAAACTTTTGGAAAGGGCCGAATTATACATTATTTATTTTGAAATGTAACATTTAAACTCATTCCAGCCAAAAAAGTTACATCTGAAAACACTCAAATCTAACTAGTTTAGTCAGTATTTTACAGGACAGTTAACTACAGACTTGTCCCAGGCACAAAATCCAAAATTCAAGATCAAGTTAAGATATTGGGAAACCATCCTTATTTTTTATAATTATATGTACAGGGGAGTTTTCAGATGATAAATTTATATTCAACAAGATAGTTTTTTATACTTGATTAAAACTGTACTTTCGATCCAAGCATATGATTTTTTAAGTACATTCATTGTTCACAATTATCCAGCCTAAGTTGAGATGTTTAAAACAGCTGTCTTCTGTTTTAAAGTTTCAATGTTAAAGAAAACAAAACACCCTTAGTTGTCTTCATTTCTCTGGTTATAAAATTACTCTTAAATACACATTCATTATAATAAACAGCCCAGAAAATGTCTTTCAGTTGATATCAGTACAGTTTTCTCACATAATCTAAAAACTAGAATTGGAACAAATTGAAGCATAATTTTATATTTAAGCACGTGCCAGAACAATCTTCTCTTCAAGTAGGGCTTCCACTACCTGGAAGCAAAGGCCTTGAAAGGCAGTTCTCAAAAAGAAGTATATTTTCATTTTCATCATTCTTTTGGCCAAATAGCAAATTCCAAAGTGGTATTTAATCAACCAGTTTATCTGGTTATGAAAAGTATAAATTACATTTAGGTAACTGCATTTTTAAACAATCTCACATCCCGATAGATATCTTTAAGTCTAAATATTAGTAGGTGGGGCAATTAAAAGAAGTTGTTTTGGAACAAAAAGAAGAAAACAGGGCCAAAGACAGTCTTTGTGTTACATAACTAGAGATTTCAACTCAATGTAAGAGCTTTTGTAGAGGAAAAAATGGAGTTCTGGTTTAATTAACATGTATTGTTCATTCATTACCTTATTTCTAATCTACCATTCTCTTAATTTCCCAAACAATAATTTGATATCAGAAGTGAATGGAGCCAAAGCTCCACTATGGTACAGTGGAATGGCTGTCACACACAGGGTGGGAGGCCCACTGTGAAGCTATTCATGGAGAGGCAGACAGTAAATCACTGTTAGCAACTCCAGCTTGCTGGTAGAGCTGGCCCTTGGAGATGATCTGACATTGTTCCCAGTGAATTCAAATTTCAGTTTATCTCCTTCCATGAGTCTTCTAGAGTTCTATTTATATTCCTATTGCATCTTATTTTCAAGCATCTTGTTTTTGTAATTGTTATATTTACTCATCACTGTCATCTATAAATCTTTTTCTCCCCATTCAAAAAGCAAATTAGACACTTTACAGTCGAAATTCTGTGTTGGGAGAAGCCTAGATTTTGTTCATCTTTGGAACTAGAATCTCAAAATCAGAAGAGCATATATATTTCTAGTGGTTTTTTTTCTGTTCCTTTTTAAATGATCCTTTCCATCTAAGGATCTATTCCTTATCCTACTGAATCCTTGAAAAGGAACTCATCGCTTTCACTAACTCATGTCCTCCTTTATGTACCCTCACTCTTGGTTAAGTGCTAGGGATACAAGAGAAAATTACAGAGATGTAGTTCGAAGACTTGAGAAACTTGTGATTTAACAGAAAAGAGAAGCACTCAGCAAATAATTGCACCCAATATTAATACTAGCTGTAATGTCTGATATGTACTATGAAGCAAATTCACAGGATACTTTGAGAATACATAATGGGCAATACGACTTATCAGGGAAGTCTTGTTTGAGGCAGGGACATGGAAGGATGAGTAGGGGTTAGCCAGGTAGACAGGGAGAAGGGGAAATTCCAGTATTCCAGGCAGGAGCACGAGGGCAGGCCTGTAGTTAGAAAGAAGGAACATGGAGCTTTCCAGGAACTGAAATACCAGTAATGCTGCAAGAAAGCAAGACAGCGATGGGAGCATGGCGGAGACGAGAGCAGAGAGGTAGGCAAGAAACTAATCATGCACAGTGTTAAGGCTGTGTTAGGGCTTGGGGGTACCTATGGATGCCTCTGAAGTGTTTCAAGCAGGGCTTGACATAATCATATGTGTATCTTTCAAAGATAACTTAGGCTACAATCTGCAGAATGAATAACAGGACAAGAGAGAATAGAATTTAATGTTAATTTGGGAGTAAAAGAAACAAAAAATATTGCTATGTATTGGTCACAGATACATATGGCATATGTAAAAGTACAGAAACAAGATGTAAGGATGCACAGAAAACTTATAATAGCATTACTTATGAAAAAAAAGAAAATGAGAGTGAGAGTAAGAAAAGATATTGATGATAAGAAGGTTAAGCTTTATCCACCATGTTTTATTTCTTAAAGACAGTAAACAAAAATGACAAAATAATAACAGTTGTTAATTCTGAGTAATGAAAATTGGGATGTTGGTTATATTAGTCTTTGACAATCTTTCAATTTTCTCAAAAGAGAGACTACGTTAAACAAAAATGAGAGGAGAACCAAGAGACAGGGGTGTGTCATGGAAGCAAAGAGCAGAGAATATTTCAGAAGAAACAAGTTCATTGTTGCTGATAATTCAAATAAAATGAAAATGTTAAAATATCTACTGTAATTACTGTCACGACTGTCACTGAAGACTAGCAAAAGGGGACTGAGTTGATGAAAGAGCAGGAAGTGGCAACACTGGTTGTCAACAATCTCTGGGAATGTCTGGCTTTAGAAGAGAGGAGAGAAGAGAGTGGCTTGAAAGAAATGGGGTCCAAGGTGGGCTGTTTCTAAGATGGGAAAGACCGAAGCTTGCTTACATGCTGATGGGCAGGTGCAGGAGAGGGTCTAGAGAAAATAGGACAGAATTTCTGAGAATGTGTGAATTATTGGGAACATCAGGAGGGACTGGCCTCCTACTGGAGGAGGGACACTGCCTCGTTCATAAGAAGAGACACTTAGAAAATAATGAGTACAGAAGCAAAAACGTCCCCTTCTGATGGACTGTGTTTTTTTCAGGGAAGTACGAGGCATGAAGGGTGAGACATCTGGCTAAAGGGAAAATGTTAGTGGCTAACGGAGATAAGGCAGTGCTTTGGATGTGATTGAGGTTGATAATAACTTCCCTACATGATTTCCAGCAGGCTTCAGCTGCCCAGTTCAGGAGCAGAGTCTGCTGAGGTATACACAGTTCAGAACTAGCTTTTAGTCAGACAGATGTGGACCAAAAAACAGAGGAGCAAAGGAATTGAAAGTATTTGCAAGAGAGAGGGATTGACACTATGAAGCAATGCTAGTCAGAGAGAGGAATGAAAGAAGGGAGAGAGTAGGCAGATCGAGAGAGAAGCAAAATCAACAATCTGGAGGTCCTCAAGAAATCAGAGTGAATGTAGAGGGGTGCATGAGCAAGGAAGGTTGAAGGAGAAGGGATTGGGAAGTGGGATGTCAGAATTAGTGATCTGGAAGATGGGGCCTTTTTGATAATAAGGTCCAGCATAAAGCCTGGAGTGGGTGGCAGAGGGGATCAGACAAAGACAGCATAGATGAGGAAGGCAAGAAATGGAAAAGCCGGTCAGTGGATATATGGATGTTAACACTACCATGAGTGATGACAGGTGGAGGGACAGATAGGAGGTCAGTAAGTCTTTGAAGAATGGGTTAAAATGAGACCACAAATGTATGTGTAGAATATAGCCACCAAGGTCAGCCAGAGGTTTTTAGAGGAGAAATGGCCTGAAAGCAGCATGAGAAGCAAGGAAACGGACCTCACTTTCTTAAGGAAGAGGAATAAAGGGGCAAGAAGGAGAAGAAACAGCCCCCAAAAGAAAAAGGCTGGGGAAAAGCAGTTGGTTTAGAACACAGCCAGGATTTATTGTGACCGTGGTTCTCATCCCTGGCTGCAAATGAGAATCATCTTTGGAGTTTTAAAACCTACCCATGTCTAGGTCCCAGTCCTTCCTGATGAATTAGAATCTTGAGCTTGGGGATTTGCATCACTGAAGAGCTCCCCTGGTCATCTAAAAGTGCAAGTGGATTTTAAAATCACTGACTTAAGGCAAAAAGGTGGAGGAAATTTTGGAGAAGGGGCTGAGGGTACAGATAGGTTTCTTGATTATAAATGATAATGGCCTGAATGTACAAACTGTGCTCCTTGAGTGTGTCCCCATGAACTTACACCCTCAAGGAATTGTGAGTAGCAGCAGCCCTTTCTTCTCCCAAGTTCATTACCCCGTTTTGTCTCAAAGCAGAGATTCTGATCAAACAGCTAGACGTGGTCTTCGCAGGGAACCTGAGTGAGTTTATCTTTCTGCTTTATTTTAATCTTCCTCCACACTTTTTTCCAGGTGATCTGAGGAAAGTGGGAGCTGCCACCAGACATTTAAGAAGGGGAGGAGGAGTTATTACAGGTAGCTCCCAGCCCTGACTCACTCACTGACACAGGTCAAGCCACTTCTTTTCTCTGTGCCTCCATGTAACTCCTGTAAAACGGGATGGCAGAACTGATGTGGAGGATGGCAAGGATGACAATGTGCCACTTAATCTTTACAAAGCAGTGTGTGCTTTGGACTCCAGACTTACAAAGATCATCTAATGTAATCACAGGCTTCTTGGGGAGTGAGTAGAATAAGAATCCTCATTTACAGGTGAATCCCGCCCAAGGTCACCAGCTAAGTTACATTACCTGCAGATGGCCTCCAGAGACCAGGGCCTTAAACACTCCACTTTATGTCACTTTTTTAAAAAACAGCGAAAGCTCCTTCTAATTACTTTGTGATTCTTTAAGTCTTTGGCTTTCTTTCCCTGAAGGGACAGGATATACATTGCAGACTTCAAAGACTTTGAAGGGGCAGTGGTTTTACTGAAAACTTACGGCAGGCTTCTGGAAGTGAGTCCGAGGCGCACATATGGGAAATGATGTCATGAGGTTCCATCGCCTGGCTTCCCCACAGGTGCTCCCCTGAGTGTTTCCGGAGCCCGACAATAGCTGGCTTTTTTTCCAGCTCCGGGAGCAGCTCTTCTGGCAGGTGGAAATGTAACACCACGTGGTCAGAAGGACGGCTCCTACTTGGATGGTGAGACTAGGATCTAGTAATTGCCAGGAAGATTCTGGGTGGTATTTCTTGACCGTGAAAAAGTAGACTCCAATTCTTTAACTCTCGTATTCTATACTTTTAAATTGGGTAATTTTAATCACTTGCTTCTTGGCTGAGCATTACTACAAATTTAACATGCAATATTAATATTGAAAATAATGTCCCTTTAAACAATGTCCTAAAACCCGATGTGGGGCATTTCCAATACATCCATAAAGCAAATAAAACAACTTAATTGTTTGTTTCTCTAAGGGAAGGAGCTAAACCCGGAATTAATTTGGTTCAACCTGTGAAACAATTCGTTTGCTCTGCCTAATTCTGCCAATTAAAGAACTTTTCCCAGACACAATTAGCATGTAAATCAGCGGTGGAGAGCAGAGAAGGAGCCTCGGCGACCGGGGTTGGGTGGAGCGCAGGACCGAAAACCGCGCGGGCCGTAGGGGCCGGACCATCTGGCTGCGGTACCGCGCCTGGGGCGCACGGACGAGCTGGGGACCAGCTGGCACTGACCGTGCGGTCATCAGCCCAAATCTGGGCGTTAAATAGCGCAGCCAGGGATCGAGCCGTCTTGGCCGCCAGGTCCTTCTCCGAGCCCCGCGGGATTCTAAGGAGACGTCCCGGAGCCGGCCCCCAACCAACCCGCAGGAACCCGCAATCCTACCCCCCGCCTCACACTCCCCAACCCCCTCCCCAGGCTGCCTCTAGGAGCGTCGGGGGCTGCGCGCGCACCTAGGGCCGCGCCCCCCGCTACCCCAGGTCTGTAGCTGCCTTTGCCCGGGAAAGGTGGAGTTAGCGGCCCCTGCTGACAGTTCTGGAGAACAGCAGAGGTACTGATTTTTTCTTCTTTTTCCTATCATTCTCCCCGCCTTTTCCAGGTGGTGGTAGTGGTGGGGGGAATGGGTGTTGACCCGTGTGCATTTATTCTTTGTGAAGACTTTTGAGCAGATGTCTGTACATGCAGAAGCGACAAAAAAAGGAACGCGGACTTGTTAGTGGCCCTAGTCCTAAGTAGGGAACAGGTACAGTTTCCAATATAAAGAAACTCGGCCTAAGTGGGACTGAGATCCTGATCTCCGTACTTGCTTTTCTCAGCCGATTCCATGACTAGTAAATAGCTCTCCGTGAATTGCTGGGCCGTCCGGTGTTACTTTGCTTAAAGGCTGCGACTGTGGTCTGCACATCTGCGAAGCTCCCTTGGGGAGCAATAGCCGCGGAGCGCAGTTGCTTTCGGGGCGCAGCGGCAGGGGGAGGGGAACGTGGTGGTGGTGCCCGACGAGTTGGCACAAGCCTGTAACTGCAAGACTTTGTAGCTATTGAAAGTTCAAGTGGTGAAAGAAGGCTGTGCCTGCCTTTCTTCTTGTGATCGTAACAATAGCGCCTTGGAAGTAGCTGCGATTTTCTTCTTCCATAAAGCTGTTGGGTTCCCATTGGAATTGTTTGCCTGTTATTTCTGAAGTTTACTTATTTCTAAGACCAGTCCACAGACTGTGAACTTTAAGAGCTTTTAAAATAGATCGCCGTCGTTAAAAACATCATTCTCTCCACTGGTTTGCTTACTTCACATGCTTTATTAACATGTGTTTGTGCGTAACTAATAGCTGTGTTCTTATCTTCCAAGTGTATTTTTAACCGCAGCGGCCTCTATCCAATTCATCTAGCTACGTAGAGCGTCCATCGCTTCTGGAATCTACCTCTTGATAACAGTAATCAGAATCAGAAAGGCTCGACGTTCACTTACCCTCATGCTTTAAAACTTTTCCATTTAGGAAAATCGATGAACAAAACCTTTCTTGTAACTCGCTCCTGCACTACGTCTATTTTTATTTATTTTTCTGATTTGGCAGGACTCAGCAATGCTGTCCGGGATTTTTTTTTTTTTTTTTTCTCTTAGCTAGAGCAGATGTGGGGGCGGGGGAGGTGAGGGTTGGGCTCCTGCCGGAGTCGCCCCCGCTGAGCCTCCGCCTAGCGCTTGGTGGGGCCAGGAATCCTGGTGGAAGGAAGCGGCGCTAGCCAGTAGGTCCAAGGCTCCACCTGCAGCCACACCGCGTAGTTTCTCCCTCTGCCTCACTCACTCGCACTCACACACAGCTCTCCTTTGGGTCGGAGGAGACGCCAGCCAAAGTAGGCGGAGTTGAGGGAGGAGAGTCCGATCTGCGCAATCCAGTCCGGGATTTGGCTCCGCCCGGGAGCGGCGGCCTCTCCGGTGACAGAGGAGTAGTGAGCGGCTCCGGGTGAGGCTGCAGCCAACTCTGCTCCCCGCGCACTCGGCTGCCCAGGCGCTCGGGACGCAGCAGAGGCGCTCCTCCGCGGTGCCGGCCGCCCGCAATGCCCGCTTAGCAGCGTGTGGCCGCGGCCAGCATCACCACACCCGTGGCACCGCGCTCCCGGCCACAGAGCCGGGCCAGAGCTGTGCACCCCTGCCCCAGCCCCCACCCCGCCCCCCGCCCTGAAATGACTTCTTAATCGGCGCAGACACCACCAAGGGGACTCACCGGAGTGGAATTCAAGTGGAATTTGGATTTGGAGCAGAGTTTCTTGAACATTTACCCTCTTCCTTGTTGGTTTTCTTTTTCTTCTTCTTCTTCTTTTTTTTTTTTTTTTTTTTTTTTTTTGTTTTGGCTTCTTTTTTCCTCGCCCCTTCTACGCTCGTCATTGGAGATGAACACATCGCGCTTGCATCCCAGAAAGTAGTCGCCGCGACTATTTCCCCCAAAGAGACAAGCACACATGTAGGAATGACAAAGGCTTGCGAAGGAGAGAGCGCAGCCCGCGGCCCGGAGAGATCCCCTCGATAATGGATTACTAAATGGGATACACGCTGTACCAGTCCGCTCCGAGCCCCGGCCGCCGGTCCGTCGATGCACCTAAAAGGTACGGCCCGGACGCCCTGGCGCGCCCCACCTCCCGGGCAGCTGGACTCCAGCCTCAGGGTCCCAGGGCCGTGGCTAGCGGATACTATCGGCTTTGTGGTGCTTGCGTTTTATTTTGTCTTGTGTCTCCGTTTCTCAAGCGTTGCCCGGTCCTGGGGGAGTAGGTCCTGGGGGAGTAGCCGTGAGCCCTGCCTGCGGTTCCTCTCCGCCCTGTGCCCTAAAGAACGCCGGGCTCCACGTCGAGAGCTTTCCCACCCGCGTTGCGCACTCGCCCGGCGCCGCCCCGGGCCGCGACGGCGCGTATGGTTGTTCCTCCCGGGGGTGTGTGTGTGAGACCCAAGGCTCATCCTTTCGCGGGCCAAGCAGGGAGCAGAGCGGGCCCTAGAGAGTGGGATTCTCAGAAGCTCCCTGGCCCGATGTCGAAGGCAGGGGAAGGGGTTTTGCCCTCGAAGGCTGGAGGGGGTTGGGTAGAACAGCGCTGTTTTCGTCCTGTGCCAGGTGGGAGAAGGGGTTCCGCAGAGACGGTGTGAAAGCGGAGAGAATCTTTTGTTGTCAGTGTGGGGTCTGGGCTGGGCTCCGTGGCGTGCGAGAAACTTGTAATGGCCCTAGGCACCCGCGCGCCCTGTCTCTTGCTGAGATCCTGGCTCCTGTGGCCGCTGCCACCAGAGGTTCCGGGCTTTGTTTGCTCGAATAAGTGAGCCCAGGAGCAGCCGTTCGGGTGGCGCGGCGCCCCCGCCCTGGGTCCTGTCCCCCGCCGCAGCTCCCACCCCGTGCGGCGAGGATGTAGTCCGTCGCGGCTGCGTCCCCCTGAAGCACCGAGCCCTCTGCACCGGGGCTGGCGCACGCTGTGCCCTCCTCCCAGATCTGCGCGGTCTCGCTCTGGAAAGATGTCCCAGGAGGGGGAAGGGTGGGAGACCTGGCAAGAGATGGCCCTGGGTGTGAAATCCAGACAAGGGTTCTGTCCCGACTCTTCGCTGTGTCCTGGGGCACTGCCCAGGGAGCAGTGGGGCGCTGGAGAGTCAGCCGGGCAGTGCCCACCCACCCTGCCTGACCCTGCTGGAGAGGGAAGTGTCTCTTGTCCCGATTCTCCGCGTTTTTCTCAGCTCCTCACTGTGGGAGACCGTGCAAAACAGGATCCTGAGGTCTCCCCCCTCCTCGCACGACCCGAGCGGCACAGGGGGAGCCAGGGAGCTGTCCCGGACTTGCGGACGTCGGGAAAGGAAACAGAATTCCGCTGTTTTTCCCGCTCCCTCACCGCCCCTACGCCCAGCGCCTCCTCCCACTTTACAGCGGCGGGGTCACTAGACCTGGTGCTTCTGGAAAGTTTCCCTGAAAGCCAGGGGCGGCAGGCAGGACCGGATTGGGGCTCAGCCTGTGCAGTCCGCGGGAAGCCGGATCTGGAGGGAATCAAATGGGCAGCTCCGTGTGCGGCTAGGAGCTAGGTCCCGGCCCTTTGGAGAGTGGAGCCTCCTGGCCGGCAGTACTTGCTCGACAAGCCGGGGAAGGGATGGATGGGGAAGCAGGACTCTGGAGGCAGGTGCGGCCACTGTGGACAGAGGCTGTGGCGAAGGTGTGTGAGGACCCAGGCCCGGGCTCGCTGGCTTGCAACCGAGCCATCTGCGCCCCGCGCGCGATTTCCCAGAGGCGATGTCCAGGGAGGGGCGAAGCAGAGCCAGGTGCGCGTGGAGCGCGGGAGGAAACGGAGACTGGAGGCGCTGTCTTTACAGCCAGGGCAAGCACCTCCAGGGGCCGCCTCCGGCCTGAGTCGCCCTGGGGAGCCCTGCAGGCTGTTCCGCGTCTGTCTTTGGGAGAAAGGTGGCTGCTTTGGAACTGCGGTGGCCAGGCACAGCCACAGTGGGATCGCTCCTTTTTTTTTACGCTCAGTTTTTTTACGCTACTGAATGCGATCTGTGAAAGGTTTAAAACACAGGAGCGCACGGACACACACACACACTCCACAACCCCTCGCACTTGTACGCACAACTTTCTTTACCTCAGATCTGAAAAGCCATTTAACTCACTTGCAGTGTTGTGCCAGCAGGTCTCAGAAAAGCTATTTAATGCCCCCCAGCGCTGGTTTTTAAGTCTTTCCAGGATGAGAAGGTCGAGTGCCTTTGCCTTGCCTTTCTTTAATCCTGATAATTGTTCGTCGTCCTTCCCTTGGTAGACACACATCTTGGGCGTCAAGTCCGTGGTATGCTACAGTGATGGCAGGGAAGACTGGTGGTTTAATTAATTATTTAATTAGGTTTTCTCCCAAAAGTAAAGGTGCCTGTGTTTAATTCTGAATGAAAATATTCTTTTTTACACCATACCCAAATGGCTACCAGAGGTCAAGATTGGAAGAATTTTGTATGACTTTAATGCTGTGTTTAGTCTGCATGGAGCAGTTTTATGATTTACAGTAAGCTTTGATTAAACTACTCCAGGCACCAAAGTTAATTATTAACCTAACCTTAAATACAGTGGCAGAACTATGTCTCCACCTATTAACCTAAACTATCTATTAAAAAATAATTGCACTAGCTATTTGAATTTGGTTTACCCATGCTTGTTTGTATGGTAACTTCTATTTGAATCTTGAGTAACCCCTAGTTTCTGTTATTATTTTGGCTTTAGGACAGTCTTGAATAGGCACTTTGCAAACCACTCTAAAGCAGAAAAGAACAAACAACATCAAATTTAAAACCTTTCTTTTGTATTATGAGCCTTTTTTTCACCTTGATGTAAAGA